GTAAATGGCAACAGAATTTAAGATTACTCAAACACAAGCAGTATTCAATAATTTAACTACTGATTGATCTTGTTAAAGAAAACTGGGCATTATGTGCACCTGTCTGCAATAAGAAATAATGATTTAAGCAATGAAACTTCGGGTTCTACAAATGGCGAGGAAGTTCTTGACCAGCCAAGCGATTACTGTCATCTCAAGAAGGATTTTCGTCCATGCAATTAGACAGAATTGTACGGGCATCAACAAATTACACCAAAAATAAACACAAACAAAAGGCCCAACCACTGATGATGATGATGAACACAAACAAATGAAGATAACTGTTTTATCCACTGAACAGTAGGAAATGTGCCCAGAAACGAATATAAGCTATTCATATTCAAGCTACTGTCACATGTCCGTACAAATTTGAATTGCGTAGTTGCTCATCCACTTGTGTGGTTTACCATACTGCTTTCATAAATAGTGAGCCTTCTATACAACATGGCGATTGTACACTGTCATGTAATAACGCAATGCTCAGAGAAGAACATAAATTTTCTACTTTGGTTCATGTGTAGGGGTGACCAATTCGATATGCATGCGTCATATAATCATGTCGGTAGGTCTGCGAACGTCAGTTCTCCAGTTTTGGACACGGAACACTTACATAGCATATATTCCAACATATCCCGGACTGAACTAAATAAGAACATAACCTCAAAACTTTTAAGTTTAAACACCAATGAGACAAATACTCACCAGTGGATACAATCAATAAAGACTACTTCCTGTTTAGTTTCTTCTTCTTCTTGGCCATCAAAGAGAGCCTTCCCAATAGATTTTGGGCTCCAAAAATTCTGTGCGTGCTTCACGCCCCGGTGTGTATTACCATTATTATAAAGTAATAGATGCCTACTAATTGAATGCGGAAAACCTGGTCCCTCACATATTGTAAAACGCTCTCCGTAAGTCTGCAAGTTTGATTGTCCTTGTTCATATAAGGGCGTATAGGATAATCGTCTCATACGAAGCAAAATCAAATTTGTACAAGAACTTCCAATACAGACACACGATGCCAAATGCAATTCTAGAGCAGTAAGGACAGCATCGTTGCATGTAGTGTCCAATTCACTATTCATATTCGACGTATAACTCAATAAAGCAGAAGCTGATACTAACTCTCAATGCTGCATAAGCACCGCCCTTTGTATGAGTCCACAGTAATAAATAGATTATAGCAGAGGTTCCCAAAATGTGGGGCTGGTTTTCTGGGGGAGGGGGGGGGTTGTTGTTGTTGTTTGTATGAAAAACTTTTTTAACGAAATATGGAGAAACATTTTTAACATCCTTTGCTTGGTTGAGGCAGTTCAGTTGTCTTACAGTGCTGTATACTCATAGCTAAATTTTATGTCAGATCTGTTTGCTTGCACTTGGTCTGGAAGGGGGCGTGAAATTTTTGAAATATTTTAAGGGGGCGCAAGGTATAAAAGTTTGGGAACCTCTGGACTATAGTAATAAACTGAACCCTATCTATAGTATTCAATGGAAAGTACTGATGTCACCGACAAAAGGTGGTCAGTGTATGAAGGTGAGATGTTTTGTCTGTGGCATGGAACGTGGGAGGCTGTACACTGGATTCATCTGGCTTAGGAAGATGACCAGTGGCGGGCTCATCCGAATGCGGCAATATAATCTGAGTTACACAAAAGTGGGGATTTCTTGACTAGCTGAGGGTACTATTATATTCTCAAGCGGGACTCTGCACAATGGAAAGTTATCATGGAAATGGTTAAAGCAAGCTAAGAAATATGTCACAAATTGTAAACATTCTTACAAACGGGATACACAGTGCGCCACTGACTTCATTAAGTAACGGCGGTGTTACGAAATACAGGCTAAAGAACAGAACCGACATCACCAACCAGTGGAAAACAGAGCTCACACAGGCCAGGCCAGCTTTTGAATCTGAAGTACAAAAAGTGCACTCGATCCTATAAAGGGATCTCTTGTCTCCTGCTGACCTTCGGGGTACCGAGGAAGACGCGAGTAGAATAGCAGAAAGCAAAGGAGATTTATCTTCTTACATCTCTACCAAATAGGACTATTCGTTTGAAAGAAAACGCAATGTTTTATGTTGACGGTATATGAAATGCATTTTAAAAAAACCACGTTAAATAAAGTACGTGGTGTGCAGAAACTCAACTCACCGAATGGATTAACACCGTTTCATATACAAGGATATGTCATAGTTCATACTAAATTATACACAGTTTTCCACAGCAGTTCATGGGGGCTAAGCTGTTGAAAAATGACCCTTGTATATTCTACAGCGATCTCTAGCCTACAACGCAGGAACACGCAGAAGGTGGCCACAGACCCTTGCGTGCGAAAACGTCATATAACTCGTGGAGCTGTGGAGTAAACTCATATGCTGCTATGTACACCAGTGAATATTGAATAATGTGTGAATAATGAACAATACCAGTACAAATAATGCCAATTTTCACTGGTAGAGTCGTTTGCACTCCTCACTCGTATACTGATCGTGACGGGTTCACATTTCAACCCGGAGATCGGATATCTTGACTGAGGTTTGTCGTAATTTTCCTCAGTCACTCCAGATAAAGGCTGAGATGGCGCATCAATTATCAATTTCCTTCCGCATTCTTTCTAATTCATTCCTGCAGTAATCCTAACACCACGTTCTGACAGCGTCGTTAATTGACTACAAGCAAACAACACACAGTTTTTTAATTATAAATTGTCCGCCTAAGAAAGTTGTATCCACCTCACAATCGAGCAGATTTTAAGAATAGGCCCTAAAGGAAAGACGTAACATGAGAATGGAGATAACCGCAAGATATGGAACTTCATAATTTGTTCTCCACACAAAATACGATTAAGGCGATCAAATGAATGGTGGAGGGGGCGAAGTGAGAGGCTTGTACGACGTGAGATGAGAAAGTTTTGTTTTAAAAACTTGATGCGCAAATCGACGAAGATAGGATGATAGACTACATTAAGCCGATTGTTAAAAACACGAAAGGAGGGTGTAGCCTGAATTTAAATGCTTCAGGACATCCACTGGCGGCGGGTTCTTTCGAATTTCGGGTTTCATAAGGGGATTGGGGAGGGGAGGGGGTGTCGAGTGGCTATGAGACTCCCAGGAAAGGCTCTGCGTCATGGACGTAGTTTTAAAAAAGTGCACAGCAGTTTGCCTCGAATTTTACATACAATTAAACGTTGTAAGCTTCAAGAACAAATATTAAAGGCTGAACAGGCAAGAAATCTGAATGATCCAGCGAACAACTCACAATTCGCTGTCCGAGAATAAGACTGCAGATGTATACTGTATGTTCCACACACGCATATTACCTCTGTGGACAAAACAGTTAAAAGTGCTTCATTTCGACTCTTTTGTGCACATACGATATACACGCAAGGTATAATTTATAACCATTTTCGTTTTATAATTGAGGACATTCTGACATCTGCCCTTTCGTTTCTTCAGAACACAAGACATGCAGAAGGCAAACAGTCTGAGTAACCATTTAATGCTGGAATATCCTGTCCTAGTGACGTCGAAAACGTCCACTCACAAACATCCGAAACAGTGGTCTTAAACTTTACAGTGCTGCCATTTCTATTCAATAAGGCTATTCAGACAAGCTCGAAATTTAGAGATCAGCTTCACGATCCGATCTCCCTACGGATGTCCTTTGGACCCCAAATTCTGCCTGGAAATAGTGATCAAGAGAAATGTCCTCCCTGACATCAAACCTCCGGACGACCAGTCCGTAGTCCAACATTGCTATCCCGGTTCTACTATTCCACTGTAATGGTTTTATATGAATATTTATTACTAGGCAGGTCTCTCCGGACAGCTATCATTCCTTCACAGTCACCGTTACAGTGCAGCAAACAAAACATGCGAGAAAACATTAACGCCCCGAAAAGAGATTCGAACCAGCGATCCTGGAGTTTGTAGACAAAGATAACTGGCATGAAATTATTTTATTCACCGTCTGTGGAAGGTATTAGGTAACATTTTGGATTTGCTCCAGTTTTAAACGCACGTCGTTAAAGCCTTAGTACGCCACTGTAAAATTTACGAACGCCATCCTAAGCTTGCTGCAGCCTTCTCACCTAACATTCACAATAATGTATGCAAGAAAACCCTAAGGACTCTATAACACGACATAAAAGTCAGAATCACAGAGCAGATAAGACAGGAATTACGAGGGACCCTACTTCTATAGACAGCGTATTCGATGCCCGAGAGTTCTTGGATATTCGATTGGTACGTGTACGAAGAGTACACAGAAAATACAATAATTTCGTTACGGTCGAGAGGATTGATTTGTAAACGTGCGTTCACAGAGATGTGCAAAACAAGTCCAAATAGGTTACATTATACTTTCTCCATGAAGCCGAGTCCTTCCTGAGAAGCCAGCAGTCGCCCAAGAAATTGCCAACAAATTATGGAACCCGAAAGTTCATTACCGTGTTCACAACAACCCGTCACTGGTACCTATCCTGAGCCACATGAATCCACTCCATACCACCCCCATCCTAATATTAAAATGGATCTTAGAGAAATGTTACACCACACTACATTTAATTCTATTTAAAGATAAACAGATTGCAACCGTTAAGCAGACAACGTATTTCAAAAATATGTGTAATGCAAACTGGACTACACCTTTGCATTCTTGCTTTAATTTCGACCAATCGTGGTAGATTCGAATGTATGTCAGCTGTAAGCACTAACTGTGTTTTAGACAGACGTGTGTTCATAATGTTGAGCACACAGCGCTACACAGAGGCATTATTTACAAACGCTCCTGAACTGAGTAATCGGAGGGAAGATTATTACACATTCGAACGCCCTAACTTTACAAACATCTAAATATTTACTTGTGAAGGCCAACAATAATGGAGTTACATTACAGAGACACAGGGACTACTATTAGAGGGATCCATTAAACCGATGAGTATTAAAATTTTTGTATACGTACACACACACTGCTGGACCGTCGCCTGTCTTGGGGAGTCCGAGGTTAGGCCCTTGAAGTCGGCTATCCCGATGAAAGAATTCGAGGTTTTCTCAGTCCCTACAAACAAGAGACAGGGTATTACCTCATACAATTAATCGTAGAATGACGTACACTATTCCAATAAAATATATTCAGATATTTTCTAAATACGTTCTTTGTTATTTTCTTACATCATTATCATTGATAATCGTTCAAAAGTCTAACTTCAGTATAAGTACAGCTGTACTGCACTGAGTTAGAAATTACTTTTGCTTAGTATTTTTATTAAACATTCGCCATGCTGAAAAATGTTTCAAACAAACGCAACATATCACGTTACCACTTATTGTTGTCCGATTTTAATCAAAACTGGAAATAGGTTGCCACATTTTACTAAAACTTCCGTAAACATCCGTTCAGCAGAACAGACGGGCGGAGACAGATCAGGAAGAAGTGAAGAGCATTTCTAAAATTCAGGCTGCAAATGAGCCTAAAAATGGATATCAGATAAATATAAATATAGAAATGGAGAGGGATTGTTTAACTTCATCTGGTTCAGAACAAGGACCCGCGAAAAGCATTTATGAACGAGTTAAATAACATTCTGCTTCCATAAAAGGCGGAAAATGTATTTACAGTTGAGAGACTGTTAGCTTCTCAAGAAACACAACTTATTTCCCTCCTCAGTCACATTTTGCAAAATCCGAAGACAGTCGTAAAATATACGGAATCACTTGCCCAGATTCACAATATCTACCATTCATAATCATCCTGTCAGCCATTTGCGAAAGTAAATTTCGGGAATAAAATTACACTTAAACTAGAAAAACAAGAACGGGTCATGGATTCGCCCAAGTTCAATTCTTGAATCGAACAATGTCAAATACAAGCGTAATCACGGATCAATGAGGCCACTGCAAAATGGTGGAAGAACAACAAACTGTAAATGGGATCCACAATTAGTTAGGTTTATGATTAATTTGCTTTGCAGATAAATATAATAAATGGCAGTCCGAAAGCATTTACAAACAGTGGAAAGATAAATAACAAAGTGCTCTGAACTTGAGAAATATGAGATAAAAGTCCTGATAAAACAGAAATCATAAAATGAAACATTGTGGGGAGAAACACAAACAAAAGCAAAGAACGGACGTCATCATGAGGCGTATAGAAAGGGGATGAGAAATATCGATAGAAACGCAATTTGTTGGGGTTTATGAGGCCAACAACACAGCCAATTTTCTCGGCCTTAGTTGCTTCTGACGACGGCAATGTGGAACCCTCTCATTCCCATGACTACGGTCAGACGTTCGACCATCTCAGGTACCAGACATAATAAATAAGCTTGTCCGAGTCTGAATCTATGCGGGATTGATTGCCACACTTATTTCTGCCAAACTCCGTACTTGCTATTCTATCAACGACAAACAAACCTACTGCGCTGTGTACGAACGAGTTTCAGAAAAACCAGCCACGACCCTTTTCCTAGAAATGGTATTATATATGTCATTGTTGCTAGTGACCTCGCAGAAAAACAATAAGATATGTAACCCATAAGGAGTTACATCCTGTTACAGAATGACGCACACAGCCTGCGTACACACAGAGCCTCTGGCTCTCACCCGCAAGCCGAGAGTCGCAGAGCCGTCCGTACACCAGTGCAGCAGCCACTGCCGAGGTTATTGGTGACAACCGGTTTCCCGATGAACTAACTGTTCACCGGGTTCTATGCACTCATGTGTATGTGTGTATATAAACACACACATAATTACATACAAGATGATCGAAAAGTCACGCAACTCAGTTCTGACGTCATATTTGCCAAAAGAAATCAGAAAACAATTTCTGAAGTGTCGGAAATGTCCACTGCGTTTGGCGGTGCATGCACTCACTATTCCCTGTTTTATGCAACGCAGTAAAGAGTTCCTCCAGAGTCACGGAGACG